CTTTTAAACAATGTTACTTCAAAGGTCAAATTCAAAGTGACAAAGGATTGGTAAAGCTGTATTAAAAATGTACATAAATTTTGATAGCTGATTTTTGTACACTCTAAAATCTTTGTTAAAAGCCTACGAGATAATTTTTTTTTTCAACTCACATTAGTTTTCTTCCATTCTAGTGTGCACCTCTAGAGGTTAGAAGGTGTGTGTCTGTTATCCCCTGGCATGGTTACTCTCTTGTGTAGGGATGAGTGCAAGGATCAGATGGACGCAGGATGTGAAGGGTAGGAGGGAAAAACTGATCTGCTTCACAACTAACTTTCAAAGAACTCTGTTAATTTGTATATGAAAATATTATGCCCTTCATTCTACAAGTTGGATTTTTATTGAAAGAGTTTTACTATATCTTGTTTGCAAAGTTCAAAGATCTACTTGATTTATCCTGAGGATGAGGATGTTTATTTTCAGAATATTAAATAGAAACCTTGCAGATGTATAAAGAAGGAGTTATACCTTTTAACTTTAAATTTAGAAATGTAAATATAGTCATATTATAGTCATAGACTAGATATTTTCATATATTTCACAGATTATTACTCTGAGCCCACCATTTTTATTATTTAGTCTTGGAACAAATATTAAAGATTCCTTAAGATTTTGCATCTAGAGAATACTGTATCTTTCAATCATTATCAAGTTTAAATGAGAACTTTCATTTTAAAGAACTCAGTAACAGTTATTGTAGAAAAAAATTTCTCAATTCCTTTATGATGAAAACGAGGACATTACTGTTATAGCCTATAACTAGATGTTCCCTCAAAGCCTCGTGTGGCCTCAGGTAGGGCTTTTCAAATATCTCTGGATCTAGGTGTGTGATACTGAGATTAAGAATGTAATGCTGGATTAACGGTGCCATGCTGGGATTCAGGGTGCTCCAACCTGGATGTGAGTGCTACCTGCCCTAAGCATGGTAGCCTGGATGGAATATGAGGGGCTTTAGAAAGAGGGCTGCTGCTGTCACTTGCTGCTTTCTGCCTTTTCACTACCCTGTTTTGCCATGAACTGTTTCTCCTCTGTGAGTCCCTCTGCCATAACACCTTGACTTGGAGCCAGCTGTCTATGAACCAAAATCTCTATAAACTGTGAGCTGCAAGAAATTTTTCTTCCCTAAAAAACAAAAAGAAAGGAAAAAACAATAATAAACATAACTAAAATGTTATCCATAAGTACTTCCCATGGTTTTCCACTAGTTTCTTTGCTTATTCTAATTATACCGCTTCATAGCGGGAAGGGAGGGGAGGGGGAAGCAGCTGTAAGGCGACTGGCTAGTCCCTGGAGTTACCTGCTGTGAGACAGTAGTATCTCCAAAACTGTGAATGACACAAGAACTTCACTTGATACTAAAGAGCACCATGATACTAAGGTACAGAAAGCTCAAGTAATAATCCTGAAAGAGTGGCAAGACAGTTAGGTGAACCACAAAATTAGATTTTATCAAGCAGGAGGATATCAGCTATTAAAGAAGCATTTGGGGGGCTGGGGATTTAGCTTAGTGGCATAAGCGCCTGCCTTGCAAACAGGCAGTCGTGAGTTCGATCCCTGGTACCGATAAAAATGAAAAAGACAAAAAAAAAAAAAAAAAAAAGAAGCATTTGGATACTTTTCATAAAGGTGAGAGTGGACCAAGAATGTTTTTTCCCCTTTGCGGAAAAGCAGTGGAGAGGAAATGATTAGCAGACACAGTGCAAATCACACTGGGACACAGTGTAGCTGGTGTCAAAATCAGTGCTTGGGATACAGGAATTTTTATGGAGCAGAATCTCTCTTCCTCAGAAGAGCCAATCACTGAAATTCCTGACACAAAAATGTTTAAGAAGTTTTCAGGGAATATTTTACTGTACTATTGCAGCATTTTCCATCTTTCCAGAGCAAATATTGGTAAATTTGACAGGATTTTGAATAGAGGAGCATTAATCTCTGTGAATCCAGGTGACCTTGGACGCTGGACAGACGTAATGCTGTTCCTACGGAGAACAGGATTTCTCTACCTTAAGTCTGTTTTCTCTTATGATCCAAGAAAACATGGAGCCACACCATTTTATGTTTCAGATTTTGAAATTCAAACACTCTTTGGTACAAAGTACAATGTTTTTTGCCTTGAAAAAGTTGGGAACTCACTAGTTTTTTGAAAAATTTTATCTACTGAAAGAAAAGCACATGATGTATCAATAAAATCAAGTAACATCAATATGCTCTTAAGTTTTTGAGCAATTGAAAATAATGCTAAGACTTGAATAAACAATGGATGATTTTTTTAAAAAAGTTCTTGTAAATCATATAAATCTTTACTCAAAAATGTGTATAAATTTTTAGAAGAAAACACATACCAGGGTTGAGAATATAGCTTAATGGCATAGCTCCTGCCTGGCAGGTGCAAAGTTGTGACTTTGATTCCCAGTACCAAAAATAAAAAACAAGACAAAAAACCACATACTGACATGTTAAAGTCGATCTTTGGAGAGAATTATATGGTAATGTCTTACATACAAAAATGCAAGAATTTTTATAGTCCTTATATTTTTATATAATTAAAAAATTAAAGAAAAATAAAATGCATGCGTCTTAAAGAAATAGACAAAACAAAAACTGACTTTATATGAAATTAAGAATGACTGAAAAAATTTAACACTTTAATATGTTCAAGGTGGTCTAAAAAATTACATAATGGACTAACTTTTACCATAGACCTTCATCTTTTTTTTTTTTTCCTTTTTATCAGTACCGGGGATTGAACTCATGACTGCCTGCTTGCTAGGCAGGTGCTTATGCCGCTGAGCTAAATCCCCAGCCCCCCATAGACCTTCATCTTATATTCAAATCCTAACATTCACTTTCACATTTTATCCATATATAATTTTATATATAACTGATTAAAATTCTAATCAAACACAAATTTTGCAAAATATAAGAGTACAATTTTTCCAAGTTTAGAGAAAAAAAAGCCTAATAGAAATGATTAGTGCATATTTGTGTTTTAGTTTATATAATTTTATTTGAATATTCATAAAATTTCATCATAAAGAAAAATTATTGGCATCAAAATTAACCTCACAGAATAATTTTCTGGGGAACTATAAAATGAGATTGCCAGGCCCAAATAGACTGATCAAATCAGAACTATTTTGGAGAAAACATCTCTAAATAAATACAATCAAGGGCTGGGGACTTAGTTCAGTGGCACAAGTGCATGCCTGGCAAATGCAAGCTCATGAGTTTGATTCTCGGTCCCAAATAAGTAAATAAATAATTATCAGCCAGGTGTGGTAGTGCAACCCAGTAATCCCAGCACTATTTGAGGGCAGCCTGAGCTACATATGAGTTCAAGGCCAACCTGAACTACATGGTGAAACCCTAAAAACCTTAAAAAGAAAAAAAAAAAAGACAAAGAGAAACTCCACACACTGATTTTATGCTATTTTATGCCAGATACATATCTGGCAGTCAATGATCTAGAACATTCTCTTCTAGCAACTTCCCTTGATGAATATGTCATTATATTCAAACATGTACTAATAAAAGTTTTAAAAATTAAACTAAAATCCCTTTGCTTGCACAGAAGGGAACTAGAATTCAAGGAGAAGAAATAAATTTTACAAAGACCTAAAATCAGTGAAAAAACAGAGCTAACACTTGAACCTTCATCCCTGAACCCCTCACTAGTCGCCTCTTTCAACTCCCTCTGGCCCAGTGATAGTGAAGGATGTAATTTAATGCCCTGTAGGGTCTCTGGGTCAAATCTGGCATCTAAATTAACTTCCACTCTTCAGTTCTTTAGTTCCTTTCACTCGACACTTTTCACTTTTCATTCTCCAGTTATGAAAGACAACCCTGCTTTTGCTTAATGGCTTGTAACAAGCTTTGTGTATTCTGCACTGTTCCCAGAGCAGGGGTATAAACTACAGTCTGCTACCCTGGAAAGACCATGACCTCTAGGCCGAAGCCATGTGAACACCTGTTTTTCTAAAGTTACACCAAAACACAGATATGCCTATTTAATTCCATTTTATTCATGACTGTCAACACAGTTACGTACTAGCTAGCCCTTTATAAAAAATTAGCCTATATCATTTTTAAATCTAAGCCCATGACATAGCTCAGTGGCAGAGCATCTGCCTGGTAAGTATGAGGTTGTGAGTTTGACTGTCAGTACCAAAAAAACAAAAAACCCAAAAAAACTAATGAACTATTTTCACTTTAAATATTTTTATGAATAAAATAAGCTTAAATTTATGGCAGTTTTTGCTTCAAATTTAATATATTCAATTTAATACTTGTATTTGAGATTTATGTCTAAATGTGTGTTTTGCTTATCAAATAATTTGCCCAGCTGGGTGTGGTGGTGCACACCTGTAATCCCAGCACTTGGGAGGCTGAAGTAGGAGGATCGCTATGAGTTCAAGGCCAGCCTGAGTTATACACTGAGTCTTTGTCTCAAACTCCCCCACCCCCAAAAAACTGCCCATTATTTAAATATATAGGGAAAAGTTTTCTTTAAAAATTTTTTTAAATGACAGAGAAAGCAGCACACTTGAACTTAAGTTTGGAACAGTAAAAATGAATGTGAATAGCAAAAAATTGGAAAGTCCTATGTATAAGTGATCCTTACTTTGTGAAAACTGATGCTTCAAGTCTGATAAAAAATAGAAATGTACGTCTGGAGGTAAAACAAAACAAAAAAAGCCCCAATATCCTGTCAACAAGAGGCGGCAGTAAAAACGTCCTTTTGGCTGCATTATAATGGTGAGCACCATGACAGTTAATTCTGGGAGAGGTGATAATGAGCAAAGAGCTAAAAAATAAACAGGAAAAACAAAGACAGAAACAAAAAATTGACAACAAAAGATGCACAAGGTGGGTATCCAAGAGACAGCAGTATGATAAATATTACAGAGTCAGGCAGTGGGGGACCTGTTCTGGCTCTGATCCTGCTCCGTCTCCGAGCCTACCTGTTCTGCCAGCCAGGCAATGTGCTTGACTTCCTTGCTGCCTCCCGCTGTACTGGTTGCACCAAGCATGGCATTGAGTTCAGCCAGTACCTGTGGGAGGAGAGCCATTATGTTGGTGTGGATAGCTACGAACCAGGAGTGTGCTGTGGCTGTATCCTTGCAGCGGAGGATCAATGTGTTTCTGCTATCAGGAGAATGTAGCTCTATCAATCTGTGTGGGAAAAGAAAAGAAAAAAGTGAGCTGGGTCAGAAGTCACCGCACCTACAATAGAGACTGAAGTGCACAATTACAAATCTAATTTAATTATGCATTCTTCAAATACTGACACTTTCTCTTAATTCCTTAGAGTCCAGCTAAAACTACAAATAGAGGAAATAAAAAGAAATGAGATGTATTATGCACATGTAGCGACTTCTCTCGACAATGCAGTCATTATATACTCAAGCATATACTAATAAAAATTTTAAAAATTAAAATAAAATAAAACCACACATGAAAAGTAATTACCAGCTCACGCCTGTAATCCTAGCACTTGGGAGGCTGAGGCAGGAGGATTGCTGTGAGTTTGAGGCCAGCCAGGGCTACACAGTGAGTTCAAAGCCAGCCTGAACTACATAGTAAGACCCTATCTCAAAAAAAAAAAAAAAAAAAAAAAAAAAAAGAAGAAGAAAAAGAAAAAGTAATCACAAGAAAGTTTAACCTGCTGAATGAGCTATTATAGTGTATTGCTATAAGGAGCTAAGGCAAGGGAACCTATAGGATGGTTGACAGTAGAACATTTTGCTTTACCTTAATTTCCATGTCAAAGAAATGGAAAGCATGTTTGTTGAATGTCACAGGCACAATTATAAATGAGGAACTAATATTTTTAAAAAATACTTAGATATCCAGCACATGGAAGGTTGAGGCAGAGGACTGCCATGAGTTTGAGGCCAGCCTGAACTACACAGTGGGTTCAAGGCCAGCCTGAGCTAGAAAAACCAAAATTAAAAACAAAAAAATACATGGATAATTCTGATATAGGGTATTTCCAGGTGTTAAAGACAACGACTCATAATAAACTGAATTTATACTACATGAAATAAAGAAAAGGCAAATTAGCAGAAGAATATTACTCCCCCCCAATACTAGGAACTGAACCCAAGCCTTTGTGCATGCTAGACAAATGCTTTACTACCAAGTTACATCCCTGCCTTTGTTGTTTTTGTTTTTTTGAGACAAGGTCTCACTATGTAGTTCAGGCTGGCCTCAAACTTATAATCCTTCTACCTTGACATCCTGTGGAGGTGAGTTTATAGACATGCACCACTACACTCAGCAAGAATATTACATTACATGAAAATGTGGAATTATTTTAGTGTCTGGGTAACATTATATGATTAAATCATTCACTGAGTCCTAGAAGAAACACAGTTAAGAGATAGTCAACAAGATGATTATTCTATATTCGTTAATTCTCAATTGCGAACAATCTGCATTTCAAAAGTTGCCTGAATATAGCAATGGGCAGTGGTGCATGCCTGTAATCCCAGCACCCAGGAGGCAGAGGCAGCAGGATCACTGTGAGTTTGAGGATAGCCTGGGCTACATAGCAAGACTTTGTCTCAAAAAAAGCAAGCCAAACCAAAGCAACCAAACTAAACAAACAAAAACTCAAAAACAAAACCCCAGAATCCCCATAAAACAAGTGATACATAAGTTATCCATAACACTGTTTTTGAAGCTCTACACTATCTATAAAGTTCTATTTCTGTTAATTCTTTTTTTTTTTTTTAATTTTTTTTTGTCTTTTTCCTTTTTATCGGTACCGGGGATTGAACTCACAACTGCCTCCTTTCAAGGCAGGTGCTTATGCCGCTGAGCTAAATCCCCAGCCCCTGTTAATTCTGTTATGTACTGATATGCTCAATTATACTTTATCTAGCCAGTTCTGTTGATGATAACAAGAAACAGCACAGTGATCAGGATAGAACTCCTTATACAGCAGATTTATATGTCTTTTTAGTTTTATATGTCTATAGGAAAAAGTTTAGTTCTGTCCTGCTTTGTTGTTTTTCTCTCTAACATAGAAAGGATAGAAATACATGTTAAGACTCAAGCTTACATAAAACCTATAAACAGTTTATGAGCACTGATCTGATGACACATGATGAAATGAACAAAAACTTTGAAAGAAAGTGACACTGCAGTACCCAATCCTGATTCCAGAGTGTTATGACGTGAAATTCAGCAATATTATTAATCTTTGTTCCAAAGGATTTTAATCTAATATACTGTTAGGTCTCAACATAAATGAAGATATGGATAAACGCGTACATGTCTAAGTGTATAGGATTGATAGCCATAATACTTAGTTTTTGTTGGATAGTTGAACAGAACTGTTTGCAGTCTCCCTGGTTGAAATCCCATTTATATGTTCCATTTGTGTACCTTGAATAACTATTTATAGAGGGACAATATGTATACATCAGCTAGTGATTTATTACTATTTCTTTTCTTTAAAAGTATGTACTATTTCTGTCCGTTTTCTATTTTGTTTTGTCTTTCTTTAAATAAAAAAGTTATCCATACTGTGCTTGCTTCAGCAGTACATATATTAAAATATTATCCATACAAATCAGCTGAAAGTTTTAAAGAAGTGGGATATGAGTGTAATCCCATCACTCTGGAAAGCTAAACCAAGAAGATCCCAAGTTCAAGCTCAGCCTGGGCAATTTACTTGGACTCTGTATCAAAATAAATAAAAAAGGGCCAGGGATACACCCAAACCAAAGGCCCTATGCTCAATTCCTAGCCCCAGTATACAGTATTACCCAACACTACCAAGTTGTGGTTCAGAGTTTGAGGCCTCAGTTGCTTGAGGATTTTTCCTTAGAACCTAATAATTGTGTGTGTGTGTAACATCGGAAACTGAACTCAGGACCTTGCTCTTGCTGTGCCACTGAGCTATATCCCTGGCCAGAACCTAATAATTGTTAACAGACCCCTGCCCCATTTTGGAAATTGCAAATATCTTCCTCAATTTTTTGTTTTGGTGGAGGTTTACAAGTAGCCAATCTGAGAGCATTACTCAATTCTCCTTGCTGCTGACCGGCTACTACTACATAACCCATCTCCAGCAGATGCACCAGCATTTCCGCATAACAGGTTGCTGTACTGCCTGTAGTTATCACAAGTGTTATTAGTTTTGTCCTTTTTCTTTTTTTTAATTAATTGTTTATTGGTACATTTTAGATATACATAATGATCCCATTCATTATAGAGAATCTGTATCTGTACATGATATAACTTGAGATTTTTTAGATTTGTGTCCTTCTTAAAACCCTGAAGCCAAAAAGCCCTGTACCTTCTAAGGATTTATTAATACAGGTATTTTATTAAATTACTAGCTGACATAGCATATTTAGGATTTAAACTATAAAAATAGGCATTTGTAGGCATTTTTCCTGACCATATCTGAAATTAACAATTCTTCATAATTTCTGGGTGCTCTAGGAAACTAACTCCCATGAATTCTGGTGGTCCACTGCACATCTATCTATCTATCTATCTATCTATCTATCTATCTATCTATCATTGTAAAGCAATTTATTGAGCACTGCTTTGTGTTTTCAACAAACAAATTTTTTTTTTTTGGTCTTTTTTTGAAACAGGATGTTATTACACAGTTCTGGCTAGCCTTGAACTCACTTTGTAGCCCAGGCTGGCCTGAAACTCTCAGTGATTCTCCTGCCTCAGCCTCTCAAGTGCTGGGACAACAGACATGCACCACCACACCCAGCACGGACAAACATAAATTTTAAAAGTTAAATCACACAAACACACACACACACACACACATTTTGGATTTGCTTTTTGCAGTACTAGAAAATTCAGGGAGCACTGAGCTATATCTACAGCCCTTTCTTAAATTTAAATTTTTATTTTGAGACAGAGTTTTGCTAAATTGCCCAGGATGACCTCAACCTTGCAATCCTTCTGCCTCAGTCTCCAAGCTGCTGAGACTACAGGCATGCATTACCCCATGAGGCCACACTCTTGTGTTCTAACAGTGAATACACACATCTTTCAAGTGGAAAGCAAAAAGCTATTAGGAATGACTCCCCTAGGAGGCCAGATATTGACAAACCGCCAGTACCAAGAAGATACTATTTTCTGAAGACAGTTTTTGCTGCCCTGAAGCACTGTCCTCAGATTCTGCATTGCTTGTCACAGGAAAGCAAATTTACCACTAACATCTCTGCCTTGAAGCCCGAGTTCCTTTCTTTTGCAATATCTTTACACCATTTACAATTCCAAATATTTTAAGTTGCCATATTTTCTCTGGCAAATACTCATCCTCACTTGAACTTTGGTTAGTTTGTTCTTTCCTTCCTTCCTTCTTTTCTTTTGTGATGGGGCCTCATTATGTAGCCAAGGCTTTGCTCAAACTTGTGCTCTTCCTGCCTCAACTTCACAAGTGTTGGGATTGTAGATGTGTGTCACCATGCCTAGCAGTCAGTTCTTTCTTCTATGTTTTATACTTTTGCTTTGTTTTGTTTTGTTTTTGCAGTATTGAACCCAGGTCCTTCACACTGAGACACATTTCCAGCTTTTTTTAAAAAATATTATCTTGCTAAATTGTTCAAGCTGGGCTCAAATATGCAATTTTCCTGCCTCAGCTTCTCAGAGTTGGGGATTACAGACATGTGCCATCATCCCAGGCTAGGAATTCCTCCATGTTAAACATGATTGAAGCTTAGACAGAACTAGAGAGAAGACAGACCTCTGAGAAATAGCTTAATATTCATTATTAGCCTTTATTTAGCTTCTACTTCATTTAATAGTATTTATTCTTTTATGAGACAGGGTCTTGCTATGCAGTTCAGGCTGGGCTTGAACTCACTATGTAGCACAGGCTGGCCTCAAATTTACAGTGATCCTTTTGTCTCAGCCTCCCACATGCTAAGATTATAGGCACAAACCACCACGCCCAGTTCTTATTTTCTTAAATTTTTTGCAGAGATGGCTTACATTTTCATGAAATTCAACTTGTCAAAAAAATTTTTAAGGCTTAAGTCAATGTCAAATTTAGAGACTTTTAAAAAGCATCACCTGATAAGCTCAGGGAGAACATGTAAGCAGCACTTACAATGAAATTTTGGAAACTGCAATCAGACACAGGAGTTAAATGAATAGTCAGACTTCAGCAAGTGTGAAGAGTCAAATTT